CTGGTTCTCACGTTTGAACTCCTCGATTACATTGTGTGGGGTTAGGGGGTAAGTTGGCTATATTTTGTGACGTTCTGCCACCTATTTGCAGTTAAGCCCCTGACTTCCTTGTGTTCAAGTAGTATGTTGGATTTTAGCTGCAGGTGGAAACCAGTGGAACTGCAGGTAGCACCCAAAAACTGCAGGTAGCACCCAGTTGAACTGCAGGTAGCACCCAGTGGAACTGCAGGTAGAAACTCAGTGGAACTGCAGGTAGCACCCAGTGGAACTGCAGGTAGAAACCCAGTGGAACTGCAGGTAGCACCCAGTGGAACTGCAGGTAGAAACCCAGTGGAACTGCAGGTAGCACCCCATCCTCTTCCTACTACAACAGGTGCGGCACGATTTTATGACGCGACGATTGATGTTTGACTGAATCATTGTTGTCAAATTCATTCTCATTATCATCATGCATGAATTAAAGCATCTTTGCTAGCCAAAGTTCCGATATGTTAAGCCCATCTAAACCTTGACGGATCGATAAGATATTTTAGTGCTTTCAGGTCTCTAAATTTCATTGTATGTGGCAGCAGACCACCGTATCCAATCAAATCAATCAAATAAATTTGAACACTGTTCATAGGCGATCTAGACAAGAGGAGTATACAACTGGAATGAACTCATAAATAAGTAATTTTTCACTGCCGGTCTGTGTTTGTATAAATACTCTCATTAATCAAATACACTTATTTCTCTTTGGAATATTGTAATACTTTCGATGTTCAAATTACAAAATATTCTTTTTAAGTCAATTGCCTCCAGCATCTCCGGTCTATCTACATTGCACAGCTGTTACAAGCTATTCGCTAGTTGACATTACATACTAAGGTAGACTACTCATGACATCCATTGTCGATAGGACCAAATACTGAAAGATCTGATCAATCTTCAAAGAATAGATAATGTTAACACATCAGAACCGTTGCTAACGAAGATGGATTTGAGGTCGTGTACGGCCATTTGGCCTTGTAAAACCGGTTCAAGTCGGCATACACCAACTTCTAGTGGGAAACGGGAGCAACCACTCTATAACTTTGCGTGCAGCACGCACCTTGGTAATGGATTGTGTGCACAGCACACTAATATTTCGTCGGATGGGAGAACAACATCGACACCTGACTGCATGCAACGCATGCTTCTTAACTCATATGTCTTGAAAAGGAAAAGGCCGGCTGGAGTCCTGGGGAGTCAGCTGAAACGTTATGAAACACCTCCGTAACGGGAGGATTTAAAACATTAAATCCCTCCTTTGTTGAATTGGTGTCGTTAGCTAGGGAATAATCTCCCACTGTGGTTTTGCCCAGTGTGGACGAATAGATGGAACGCTACAGATAGCTGAGCAAATTATTGAAAGAAAATAAACTACAAGCCCCCTTTCAATAAATAAAATATAAAATTTAATCAATTAATATTTAATCAAAAGAATGCAAAACCAAAATTAATTTTCCAAACTATTAATTCATAACCAAAAATTCACATTCCAATCCAACTGATTTACAGTGACAGGATTTAGTCTCAGTGGTCGATTTCTATCATATTACGAGTGTTGAATTTTGAGCGCATTCCCATGCCTTGACAATATCACCTGATGTCTGTTTCCTCTCGACTTGTTTCCGAGTCTTTGCGTGTTCTTTGGCCCTCTTTCCGACCCTCGGTTATTCCGATCTCATGTAATGGTGCATTTCTTCTTGACTCATCAGGTTCCTTGACTTATCTTCTTTCGGAGTACAAAGCTGCTTCCTTAATGCCGTTTCTTTTCACACCGTGTCATGGCATATAGCCTTTCCTTCTTTATAAGACAGCCGCCTGGCCATTTTCTACGAGTTCCTTTTTAACGAAGAAACACTACTCTCTAGGTTTTCACGGAGTCGGGCTTAGTCTTCGCTCAAGAAAAATCGGACTAAAGAATTTAGTGCAAGTCGGTACTCTTAAATTGTCAGTTCAATTTTCCAAAGTGTACGCCCTTAATTTCCATGACCAATCGGAAATAACTGTTCGTAAAATTCTCTCCAAATAATCATGTCTATCATCAGATTTCATTAGCCTAAAATATGCTGCAATTAGTTTCCTTTTAAAAAAAATCAATAATTTGACGTGTCACTCTTACTGAATCGTTAAATTCGGAGTTTCTATCGCACGCATGTCACTGTACCTGTAAAATGACCCGGTCAAATGCTCCTGGAGCTTAACGTACCCCTTTTGTATGTTCAGAGATGAAATAAAAGAAATAATAAGTGAACTCTCTCAAGACCTTTCTGGCTTGACTATGTTAACTTCAGGCACAATTTGTTTAAATTTAAGTTTCACTAAGTCTTCAAAAATGGATACATCACGAAAACTGATATATTGACGATCACATTCATACCAATTGTCTAACTCAGGCTATTACCAATTGTGTGTATGCTACATATTGTAATTAGGATCACGCCTACCAGTTTTGAATTTTTCTACTCTGTGTTATTTTATAATTTAGAGTACAGAATGTACAATCATTGTCAAAATAAAAATAAAAATTTAAGGCCTGAGTGACCCATTAGTTGTCAAAGTTTAGTTAATCAATCAATGATTGAAGTCGTGTATTGCGAATCAGTTTTGTACGAATATTTTAATATTTGCATCGCAGACCTTAAGATTTATCGTTGGAAGGGGAAAAAAATTCCAGTACGCTTTAATTCATGCACAATATGATTCTTAATTAGAAATCTGGTGAGGAATAGAAACACAGCCTAACGACACTCCGGCTTGATGTAGTTATGCACCACTGGGATTTTCTTGTTCATTGGGACATACAGTCATCACTAGGCATTTTGTTGTAACACTCTCAGTAGCATATCTGGACATAGAAAAGTAGGAGAAGACCTGGCTGCAGTCTCCGAGCAGCTGTGGAAATTTCTGAAACACCATCTACTTACTATTGACCAAATTTTGCCAAGTTATTTATGTCAAGTTATTCCGACTACCAATTCTGTGTAAGATCAAGCTTATCAGTTATAATTTTCATACTATTATTTAATTTAGCGTACACTATGTACGGGTTTTTTATTTTCGAAATAAGAATGAAGAATACCAAGTATGGATGACCCATTAAATGTTTGCAGTTTTGGTTATCTAAAATTGAAGTACCCTTTTCTAACGGTGGACAAACAGATCATATTCAAATTTTAAGTCAATTATTATCAAACTTGGTTTTTAGACCAAAATAAAAACCCTCAGTGGTAAGATGATTGTTTGCCCTTTTAAAAAGGCTGCTGACATTTTCTGGCGACATAAATAGTAATGGCCTTAGGGCGGCATAAGCTTATTTATGGTCTGCCCCTTCGGCCCATAGGGAGTGATGACGTCTGTTATCACCGAGTCTTCTCACTCTTGCCGGCGTTGAATGGGTTGAGCCTGGATGCTATGAACCTTAAACAGCTCCTTCATGATCAATATCATTAGGGGAACTAGACACAAAGGCTCACAGAGCTGTTCTTGTTGGCTGGATGAGAGCACATCACAAACAAATTAAAAAAAAATCACACTAAGGAACATGCCCTGAATCATCTTTATAGTATAACGGTACCAATTGTACAACCCCAAATGGGTGGAGCTTAAGGTTTAGGGAACATTGCATTCAGAAATAAACAACAAAACTAGTTGTGATTGGTGCATTATGTAAGAGTTGTACTTTCTGTTAGGCTTTAAAAAAAGTTGAGCCTCTTGGCAACATGTGAGATTATGTTAATTCATATCTAGATCACATTTTGTATTTTTTAAGATTTTTTAAAATGTGTTACACATGACTGAAAATATGTCTGGTGTAACTAAATAACTCTTATTCCTGTTTAGTTCCAGCAGAGTTATCTCTCTTAAATGCAATGGAGTACCTATTTTCGTTGTTATCAAATTGACAATCTAACATTGTTCTCTGTGACAGTGTGTGGTATGCATCCTGAGGTAGGATAGAAAGTATATTTATTTCGCAAAACATTAGCATTGAGGTCTATGGAAAAACAATTGGTACCGTGATACCTTGTATGATCATGTTTTCCGGTTCCTACGTTTTTGTCCTTGCGAGAAATAAACTATACCAGGCTTGTTTGAACAGTCGGTGTTACACGCGCAGAGGTCTGTAGTTCCTATAGAATAAGCCACAACACGGTCGAATATACCCGTATACATAAGTCATAATACAATCACGTTAAAGTAAGAAGATCTGAAATTATAAGCTTTTTTAATAATGAAACTTGTTGCAGAAAGTCTGCTTGACTGCTCCACGTAGTTATCAGCGACCACAGTGGTCGGTATATGACCAGATTACCACAAATAAGACTCTTTTATGAGGGTGATTCGGTACACGTTCCTCTTTTTCCCCCTGAGGTCTTCAGGGTACGTTAAGTATAAAAGCACAAAGTTTATATCACATGCATTATCAGAGCAAATTGGAGAGCATGTGTTTCAATATTTAAAATTACAACTGCATTTTTATACAATATTTTTTAACACAGGTCTCATATAATTTCTAACAATGTACCTGTCATACATGTACTAAATAATAATATATATATAGTACATGTACTACAGATAAATTGTAAGCAACTATACGAAACCCTTTGATTTTGAACATATGTAGATTTTTGTTTCTGATCTAATGGCAACAAGGAGTTCATTCCATAATATCTGTGCATAGAAACACAGAAACACCCCGAAAGGCAGGAAAACACCGAAAAACAGATGTGATGTGATGTGATTATGATTTTTAACGTAGCTTTAACAATTTTTCAGTCATATCGTTACGATGTCTGCAGTGTGGCAGTTTATAGTGTTGTTTAGCACTGGGGCATCATGCCTCAGATAAGTAGCATGATGTCCCATCCAGTCACATTATCCTTGACACCAGGCCAACCAGTCCTAACACTAACCTCTTAATGCTGAGCTTCAAGCGAGGCAGCTATTAGTACCATTTTTGTAAGTCTTTGATATGACTCGACCGGGGATCGAACCCACGACCTCGCGCATCCAAGGCGGACGCTCTAACCATTAGGCCTCCGAAGCGGTTCCAAAACACAGAAACGCACTTCGAGTATATCGTATATACCATAGCTGGAAACTGCAATTTGCGAAAAGTTTCACATAAGTGTAACGGTTAATCTATTGCTAATAAATACAGATTGGAGTAATGGTCTCAGGAAAGAACCAGCGATCAAATTGTGCATTTCAAACTTTATTTACCTGTTTTCTGTCTAATTTGTATTTAATATGTCAAAACACTAATATGACCGTATTGGCATGTTTACTTTGCAATCGAGTCATATGCAAATGCTTTTTAAGAATACGATTTGATGACAATGTCATGTTTCTTCGTATAAAAGTGTTTAAACTGCAAATCTTTGGTCAGTTAACTATGTTCATTAGTGAATCAAGATATGTGGCAAGTGTAAATTGGAATGGGACCATTCAATGCTCTGTTTGTTGTAAATGGTACCATAGGAGATTATTGATTTGTCTCAGCAAGAACTATCTTGGTGTTTAAAATCACTAGTGTGAAATGTGATGATTTCTACTTAAAGCGCTAAGACGCACGAGAAAAAAATGGGAACACACAAAATAACTACGAAACCTGAAATAGACCAAATTATTCAATGTAAGAAAAATTGAGAGAGAATAAATTTCATTTCTTGAATGTCACTATCAAGAAGGGACACAATTATTGGATATGACGAATATTCAGAGAGAGGATGTACCAACAACAACAGATGTCATTGTTCCTATGAAAGTACATTATCCAGACTCCATAGAGAACATATTTTCAATTAACCGTGCCGGATACAAAGGATAAGACCAAGGGGAAAAAAAACACCAATATTACCACCTGGAGAGATGAGAATCATATAGTTACAGTGAAAGAACCGAACCCAATTCTGAAGAAAATCAAGAAACAAACTGGGGAATTTTGTCTAAATGACATTCCGTTAGAGATAAACTTAGAAATAACAAAGAGAAGATTTGAGGAAAAATTCAAAATTTGAGTTATATATGCTAGATTGGATAAGATCCCGGCAACATCCATCTACAATGGGAATTTGGCTTTTGAAAGAGAAAAAACAAAGCTAAAAAAAGTGAAGAAAGCGTTTTACTTGTTTGGCTTTTTGGCAAAATCGTGGTACAAGGGCTGTATATACCCCAGGAACTGTAATAAATGTGGACTAACCGGGCATACTCCACACATATGTCCAGGAAATTTAGAAATTTCAGAAAAAACGATAAGGCAAGAAGAAGAACAATAACAGCCTAAATAACAAGTACAAGCAGAATAACGACAGCCCAAACAACAAATACAAGTGCAAGAGAGTGCAAAGAAACCAAGTCAACAACAGCAACAAAAGCTAAAACAACAACAACAAAAACTACTACAACTCACCAAACCAAAGATTGTCAACAGGAATCAACAACAGTCAAAGGAAGTGAAGCAACATTCTAAACAACAGCCACAGCACTCCAAACTAAATAACATTATGAATTCCCTACAAAACAAAATCAAGCACAAACAACCTTAACAGATACAGCAGCACAAAAGAAAAAATCCCATATTGCAGCCAAAGATCAATAAGAAAATAGACATGGCATTAACTTTGGCATCCCTAGGTTCACAAATAGCGGAAGCAACACTAGAAGTGACAAAGACAGAAACTGAGAGAGAAAAAAGAAAAAAAAAGAGAGCTAAGAAAAGCCAAAAGGAGAAAGAAGATGCAAATAGAGAAACAACGTAAAATAAAGAGAAAATTTACTGCTAATAGACGAAACAATAGATGAAGAATGCCAAATGGAACAACAGAAAGCAGATAATGATTACTTCTTTCAAGTTTAATAACAAAGAAAAAGTAATAAATATAAAAAAATATATATGTATTTTTTAAAAAAGAAACAAACACCACCACCCCCTCCCCAAAATAATATAAAAATTGTACCATAATAAAACAAATACAAATAGCACAATCATCTACATGTAGGGCTGGAGGGCCTCCCTAACTGGTCTGAATAGATCAAACAGGGAAAACACCCTCCCCCCAAAAAATCAATTAAAATCATTACAATTCCTCTGCAAATCATGTGCATTTGATGAGTATGATGCAGGGGCAGCTTTATCAAGGTAAGAAAATTGAAATAATTATTTTAGTATGTTATTATTTTGCATGTTAGTAAACCTTTTCAATGAAGTTAACTTTCAAACTATTTTTAATCTAGTTTGCATTATTAAATAATGTCTTCATGCATACAATATTTTCATCAAAATAAGTCAGTAACAAATGCTTCTTTATTTCAAGAATAAACGAAACTGAACTATATACTTAGTTTCTTATAAAATATCAATCAACATAAATATTAATATTATTTTCATTTTGTTTTCACTTTTTTATAATGCATAGGGGTCGTGTGCGTCTTTTTATTCTAATACAATTAAAAATATTGAAATGCACTGAGCTATACTCAAACTCAAACAATTCATTTGTAATATTAAAGGTTTCTTTATATTGTGTTCTTATTGTGCAATAAAAACAGACATTAAGTTATCCTCTGTGAAATATCAATAATATATACTGTTAAAGATCTGTAACTCTAAGAATTTTACTGATTGCCATTGTACAAATATGCATATTACATCAACCATACTATCATATAAATCGTGTACCGAAATAAAAGACCGAACACATAATGGGCCGAGTACGTAATGTATCACACTGTCCAGTAGACTCAACAATCGCAACATCTCTGTTGATTAAACCGTCCAAGTACGTGATACGCTTTCTATAATATTTTCGACGTTTAAATTCTATGTAGTTCCCGCCAAAATTTTTAACAGTTAATTTTACACAAAGTTGTAACAAAAATGTATAATTTCACTTCAGTATTATTTTTTTAAAACATAATCATATATAACACCAAGTTTTTTCATAAAATATATACATGTATTAAAATATATGCCAATAACAAAAAAATTAAACAGACAGACTTTCAGACTTAGCATGACTTTGATTCTGCGTTGATTATTAGGACCGGATTGCAAATGGCGCTACCGATCAACAACAGGGAAAGTGTATGCTATATATTAATCAATTAAGGAATACAAACCATACCTAATGAGATATATTTAATGAGTATATTTTAGTATATTCGATTCTTTTGAGTAAAAAGACGTGCAGTATAAATCCACACGATTAGTGGATTAAATACTTAAAATAGTCTACTGAACTCAAATGATAGCCAATGGCAACAGTTTAAATAATTTTTAATTCAATGCAGGAAGGCAAGAATGAATGCTATACCGACACACACACACACACACACACACACACACACATATATATATATATATATATATATATATATATATATATATATATATATATATATATATATATATATATATATATATATATATATATATATATATATATCAGAAAGGCTATGTTACTGCATGGGCTATATCGATGTTTAATAATGACAATCTTACATGAATTAACTGTTGTTTTACAGACTTTGATAATCTGTCGTGTCTTGAAGATATGATAGTAATTTGTGGACATGTGGTCTCATAAAATGATCTAAATATTCTGATATCCTTTCTGTGGGGTGCCCGTTACCTAAGATTATAGGTCTTCAAGACACGACAGATTATCTCATAAAAAGCAAAGCTAGTGAACCATTACTGCCAGATACATTACTTGCTTCCTTAGACGTCAAATCTTTGTACACCAACATACCGCACAACGAAGGGTTACAGGCATGTAGCGAAGCATGGGAAACAAGAACTGTAAACAATCCACCCACACACTTCTTAATCCAACTCCTGGAGCTTGTCCTAAAACTCAACAACTTTGAATTTAATGAAGAAAACTACCTACAAATTAATGGAACTGCAATGGGTACTAAAATGGCCCCTTCGTATGCTAACATTTTCATGGGAAAACTTGAGGGAAAGCTCTAAGCATCGGTTGAGCGTACACCATACCAGTGGGTACGCTTTATCGATGATATAGAAATGAAGTGGCAGTATGGAAGAGAAAGTCTGGATGACTTCATATCAAAGGCAAACAACTTCCATCCTTCAATAAAATTCACGGCAGAAATTTCCAACTCAAACCATGTTTTCCTGGACACAACAACCAGACTGGTGGAAAACAAATTACACACAGACATCTACTCGAAACCAACCGACAAACACCAGTATCTTCTCCCAACCAGCTGTCATCCAAAACACTGCATTAAGAACATTCCATATAGCCAGGCACTGAGGATACGCAGAATTTGCTCCGACGATGAAAGATTCCTAGAAAGGTCTGAAGAGCTGGCTAAACATTTAATTTACCGAGGCTACGACAAAGACCTGATTGCGGAGGCAATCCAAAGGGCCAAACAAACAAACCGTGATGACCTACTCAGATATGGACAGAAAGAAAAGGTTGATAGGATACCATTTATTCTGACCTATCACCCAGACAATCCCAAAGTAGGTAAAATCATCGCAAACCACTGGCCAACCGTGCAATCGTCAGACATACTAAACCTAATACTTCCGAACAAACCTGTAGTAGCTTACCGGAGACCAAAAAACCTAAAGGACATCCTAGTCAGGGCCAAGCTAACAACAATCGCTAGTCAAAACCAACCTAGTCAATCAGGACCCTGTGGCGATAAAAGATGCAAAACCTGTCAACATATGATAGAGACCAAGACATTCACTAGCACAGTGACTAAAGAAAAACTAACATACATGGTCCAAACAAAACGTGCAAAACAGAGAATGTGATTTATCTCATCACATGTAAGATCTGTGGCCTTCAGTACGTGGGAGAAACTGAAAAGCTCCACAAAAGGATAAACCTTCATAGATCTGATTGGATGACAAAAAAGCTGTACAGAAGCCCGGTCGCAGAACACTTCTCCTCCCCTGGCCACACTTTCAGTGATATAATACTTATCGCTATTGCTAACAACCACAGCTGGAGTTCCGAAACCAGGAAGGAAAAGGAATCATACTGGATACGCCGCCTTAG